CATCTCTCTCCCCCCTCTCCCCTTCACCTTTCTGATGTCAGCGGTCTGTGTATGTTTCCGTTCACTAGCGCATTCCTCCCGATCAGACGGTCCCTCCTGGCACTGGCGGTTCGGTGTGGGGCAAAAAAGAGCTTTTCAGGAAGTCCTAAGCCTTTAACTGCTCGGGGTCCCGTAAACAATTCGTCGTAGAAGGACGGGGGCCGCGTATTGTGGCAGAGGCTGGTCAGCGGGCATTTTAGGAAGTTCTAAGCCTTTAACTACTCCGCGCCCTGTCAACATTTCGTCGTAAAAATAGGGGTGCCCCGTATTGCGGTAGGCTGTGCAAGCGCGTGCAATGCGAATTCCTGGCCCGCTTCTAAATTACGCGTGTCGTGGGGGCCTCCCGGCTGTGCACATGGTTGCTGTTGGGCATGTCGTGCATGGCACAATTGATTGGGTAGTAAAATAAAACAGAAAACAGACGACAGCTGCACCTAGGAAAAGTAGTTACACTTGAAATTGTTTTAGGTTGTCCAGTGCCCTTCGCAGCTGCAGTGCCGTGAACTCAGTTACTATTTTCATCGTTGCCGTTATTGTTTTCTAATGCTTTAATTGCTGCAAGTGTACCAGGATTCTCATTTATTCCTCTATCGAGGGTGTTAAATCGGTGGATAAGGTATGACTCTCGTTGTTCACGTTCTCGATTTGATTTAAATCCCGTCTCTAAGAGCGTTACTGATAGTTTGTCGAATGCATGGTCGGGAAGATTGAGACATCTCAATCTTCCCGACCATGCATTCGACAAACTATCAGTAACGCTCTTAGAGACGGGATTTAAATCAAATCGAGAACGTGAACAACGAGAGTCATACCTTATCCACCGATTTAACACCCTCGATAGAGGAATAAATGAGAATCCTGGTACACTTGCAGCAATTAAAGCATTAGAAAACAATAACGGCAACGATGAAAATAGTAACTGAGTTCACGGCACTGCAGCTGCGAAGGGCACTGGACAACCTAAAACAATTTCAAGTGTAACTACTTTTCCTAGGTGCAGCTGTCGTCTGTTTTCTGTTTTATTTTACTACCCAATCAATTGTGCCATGCACGACATGCCCAACAGCAACCATGTGCACAGCCGGGAGGCCCCCACGACACGCGTAATTTAGAAGCGGGCCAGGAATTCGCATTGCACGCGCTTGCACAGCCTACCGCAATACGGGGCACCCCTATTTTTACGACGAAATGTTGACAGGGCGCGGAGTAGTTAAAGGCTTAGAACTTCCTAAAATGCCCGCTGACCAGCCTCTGCCACAATGCGCGTCCTTCTACGACGAATTGTTTACGGGACCCCGAGCAGTTAAAGGCTTAGGACTTCCTGAAAAGCTCTTTTTTGCCCCACACCGAACCGCCAGTGCCAGGAGGGACCGTCTGATCGGGAGGAATGCGCTAGTGAACGGAAACATACACAGACCGCTGACATCAGAAAGGTGAAGGGGAGAGGGGGGAGAGAGATGGGGGGAGTGGAGGGAAAAGTGGAAGGGGGGCACCCGAGGGGCGGTCACCGTATATTATTTTTCTCTTTTTTCTTTTTTTTCTTTTCTTTTTTTTCCCTCTTACCTTGCCCTCTGATTTGAGATTGTATAAAGCTGAGCACCGACAAACTGTATCTTTATTCCTGATGAAGGCCAGACTCTAGGCCGAAACGTCGAAATAAACCACGTTGTGACCGCTCACGGAGGATCTACTAGACTATATATATATATATATATATATATATATATATATATATATATATATATATATATATATATATATATATATATATATATATATATATATATATCGGTGTCAGTAACGCGCCTTATATCCAGATGGTAGCATTGCCTCCGGGACATCCATCGCACGACCCGCTCTCGACAGGAGACGCAGAGAGAAGGCGGGTGCGCGAGAGAGAGGGGTGCGCGCGCAGCTGCAGCGAGCGAGGAGAGCGGAGGAGCGACACCGATATCAGCGTCGCGTCCGTGGCTTATTCGGTAGAACGTCGCGCTGCGGCCCGCCAAGTCCTCTTTCTTTTAAAGATAGAGAGAAGACTGCGGACGCCGGCGACAGCGGTGGATGGTTTGGGGTCGCTCATAAAGTGTATTCACACTTAAAAGAACCATGTGCCGGCTGGAGTCTCATGCTCTCTGCTGTCTGCCGAGGTTTCCGCCACCACCGGATTCCACAGTGAATGCGCTATTTCGCGGTAGCTGGGCCGCGAGATGATACTCGCTGGTTTTACTGGAGAGTGGGGCAATTAGGACGGTCGGAGAGAAACACTGCGCGTGCCCGCCGTCTCGGAGGCCATGGTTTGGGCGTGTCATTTAACGCAGAAACATCCAGGAGGTGATGCTGCGACTTTCTCTAGTGGCACCGGCACTACCACCGTAGTTCCTGCATGTGCTTGTGAGCGCTTAGCGCTGTGGTCGTTCTGGTGTGGCGCGTTATTAGACAGTTTCAGTTTGGGTCTGCTACAGTTATGCGGACACAGCTTGCCGTTTTGAATATGGCTTGTAGGCTGTGTTAGCAGACCTGCTGGGAATTGTCGACTAAAAGTGTATAATACGCAATTTATATAAAGAACGGGCTTGTCTTGAATGAACGTATTCCAATCTCGTTTGGTATTTCAGGAGGCTAGAGCATATTTACATAATTTTACACGTGATTGAAAAACATTGTATTTTTATTTTAAGCAACTCGCACGCAGCAATAGCGCGAGATCAAGAAGATGACCATACGATGGCGATAAGCATTTTCTTTTTTATTATTTGCATGTGAACATATAGAAAGAAAAATAAAGCACCTGTTGCCTTAATCGCAAGTATTTTACAAGTGTAAAGAAAAGATAGAGCTGTCATTTTAGGCAGCATAATTACTAGCACGTCTAAGTGCAGTGACTCATTTTCAGACCCTTAGTATTTTCTGGAACATATGTTGGTGCTAGCGATAACGTTGGAATGTTCGACAGCACATGTATAAATGCCGACGAGCTTCAGCACTTGTGAGTTGATTGAGGGCCGGTGCTCTTTTCAGCACTAGCAGTGCCCGTGTGTATCGCTGTAACCTGACTTTTTGTGTTCACAGGCCAAAAGTTCGGCCAAATAAGTAGTGTCATCTTGGGTCTACCACCTGCTCCTGTTGTCCGCGTCAAGACCCTGTGAGAATTTTATGGTTTTTCGATGAAAATTTTCTGAAATGATTATTAATAGGAAAAAAGAGGGTATTCTCTGCAGACAAACACGCATTACACATTTCATGGTACATTCCACATCACAAAAAAGCGAAAGCGATAATCAAAGGCAGATATAGTACAAACCAACTGCAGTAAAGAATATTTACGAATTGTAATGTGGCATTTGTGCACACATGAACCAAAATCGTTTGATCGTACAGATGATATAATTGGGTCCATGTTTTACACAAAGTTGGTGCTGCCACAAGTTTTGCTTGCATGTCCATTCGAAAACCAGCTGCTTACGGATGACGTGTTTGTCGGATGCCGCTTGTCACATCTAACTTTTACTTTTGAAAGACGACTTCTTTGCGGGGCTCTTGGAAAACTAGACAGCAGGCCTTCCTGGCATATTTCTGTAGGCGACGCCCGACCATGGTGACAGTAGTGAGCGCCATAAACTTAAACCAAGTGACCGGGCAGAGGAGTTAAAATGGAGGCCACGCTGTCGCCAAGACCGTGGACGCTGCCTATGTCCTCGCAAAAACGGGCGTCACCCTAAGCGCGGGCACGCGCAGCCAGCCATTCTAGACATAGGGACTGCATGACAAACTCTGGCAACAAAAAGTGTTCCAAATCGAGGTAGATTTCAAGAAAGTGCCATACGCATCTTTCCACGATGACAACTCGAGTAAATAAGTGGCATAGTGATAGGAGTATCGCGTGTATGTTGCCTAACTGGGTATGGTTTGGGAATGTTCAATCGTTATTCCCTCTTCATTACTCTTATTTATCCAGTGAAGAAGAAACGTTGCATTCAACATCAAGCGAAAGCCAAGACACCCTTCACGAAATTTCGATCTTTTTGTGTGCTTAGCGGCTGAAAGCAGATAAGTCTGTAGGGCTACTACTGGCTATTCATGATCACTAAAACACTAAGCGCTAAATATGCTCCTTTATATTTGTTTGTCTCTATTCGCGCCTATTTATTTAGCGATAGCAGCTGTAATCCACGCAGAAGCTGCAATCCTTGTTGCTTGTACCTAGCCCAACTATAAGATATTGGCATTGCTGTCTTTTTCGTGGCTAGGCTTTCGCATAACTCAGGGATTTCTTTTACACGAATGACGTTGCGTCTCCGTTAGTTTTCAAGTTGTTGGGATGTGTAAAACAATCGGAATCGGAGGCATCAACCAATCTACCGATATGTGGTGTTTAACATCCCAAAACCAACATATGTATATGAGGGACGTGGTAGTGAGGCGTTTACAAAAGACCGATCTTTTTACTGGTGATATTTCAGGAAAAGCAAGTATTCATAAGGTGGTGGTTGCGGGAAGCAGGCCAGCACCCAGGAACCTTCTTTTAGAGCAAAGGGGGACTTCCTAAGACCCTGAAAAACTCCTATATTTGTTATTTGCCCTAGGTAAAACTTCCCCTACACTCCGAATACGGAGGGGGGGGGGCAGCAAACCTAGGTTACCTTTCTCCCCGTCTACAGGCCTGGCAGGAAGTTTGATCGACGGTCCGGATAACGTCTGAAGCGCGTTGATCTTTATGCATGCTTCACCGCATCTGCAGGGCCCTAAGGCTGCTGATCGTGAAAGCTCCAGCTTATGCAAAGATCTTCGCGCCGTGTATCAGTTCAGTACTTTCGTCTGTAATAATTAAGAACAATCGAATGCATTCAGACATGAGATGCGCGATGCACTAGGCAACGTAAGCCGGTCACAATTCGATAGAGAAACAAATGCCTGGCCATTATTGGCACTCTGAGACATGGTCAATACAAAACAGATACTACCTGGACTGTTCAGTTCGACGACTGGCATTTGAACCTGAAACACAAAGAAAAGTACTATGAGACCTTTCGTAAACTGCTGAGATCAAGAGATGATTCGACACTTTCTGTACGACTGCCTGAAATATAGCACACAAAGGCAATCTGTTTCAACTGTATTCAGGAGGTTATCAACCTGTGGCCGAGGAAAGTGTACTACGCCATCGTTGAGACTCATCTTCGCAGAAGAAGGCCGTTCAAGTGCTATAATAAACCAAGGGCTATAATGAAGCCTATAATGAACCATCGCACGACTGACGAAAATTGAGAGTCGGTATGCGGCGAAGTCCTTGCCTACTCACAAGCTTTGAATATAAATTTGAAACGCGCTAAAAGGAGTTGGGGAATTCCCGTATACTTGTGTTGGTGGTGCCAAGTGATAACCGTGGTGTGGGTCTAGCCTTATTCCTTCAGCGTTTCTACCCTAATGGTGTGAGCTTAGAAATTTCCACTCTCTGGAGCATCTAGACTGCACGCGAAGTGTTCTCATACTTTACGACACATCAAGGAAATACTACGTAGAAGAATATGTTATACGTGGCATAATAAGATCACTCCATGCCAACCATCACAACCAAGGTGCCTCGCCACAAAAAATTTCAATCAAATAGTTTCAGATAATTACAAAAATATAGGCAGTAGTTGAAAAGTATTCTCCTGAGATATTTTGAGCGGTGAAACGTTTTTTGCGCCTATAACCACCATTACAAATGACCGAAATGTAAAAAAACAGGTACAAAAGAAAATTTCCTCTGAATTGACCGTCTCGCGCATACTTTCAATGCTTGCTTTTTTAGCGTTTTTAGATCAACGTACTTTTGTTACAACACAGTTGTTCATGATAGCTTGAAAACTTCCCCTCTCTATAGCATAGAAAAACCAAGTAAAAATTCTTATGTGCTTGAGAATTTTCCTTCGAAACACAACTATCGATAAAACCCATAAATTACTTCTATCAAACTGTCGCCTACTATTTGAAAATATAATCGTTTTACCGGTGCGTGGTGCATAAGCTCTAAAATAAATCCGGAACTTGGCAAAAACGCCACTTTGGTTTAAGTTGAGACGTCTCTAGCACCATAAGGTGGTCCAGGAAAAATCAGGAAAAAACTCATACGACTTAAAATTGTAGCGACTATGTTCACAGAAAGATCAATCGAACACATTCTTGTTTAGTGGGGAAAAACACTTTTGAAGTTAAGTCCCACAATTCGCTTTGTTTTATTATGGGGCCAATACAAGCCAACTGAATAAGGTGGATAAAAAGAGTGACAGCGCAATTACAACGCATGCTTCAAAGTCCTTGTTGTTGTCACTTTCTTTTGTATAATACCATAATAGGTTATAATAAACAGTGCTAGAGATTCAACAATGCGAATAAAATTTATGTTGAGAAACCTCTCGAAAACACTACAATTTACTTAGTTTTGTCTACGCTCTAAAATGTGAAAATTTTCAAGTATCATGAGCAACTGTTTTGTAATGAAATCGTGTTCTTCTTAAAACGCAAAAAAGTAAGTATTAAAAAATCAGCGGAATGGTCGATTTATAGCTATTTTTTTCACATCTGGTTTTCCACCGTTTTTCGAATTTCAATTGTGGTCACATGCACAAATAATTTTGATGCTCCAAATATCTTGGAAAATACAGGTAATGCCTATATGTGTGTAACCTTCAGAATCCATTTGATATAAATTAATTTTCGGCAAGCGCACTGGTTAGGACTTTTGGCGTGGAATGACCCAATATAAGCTAACGTCATGGCTAAGACATGAATTGCGCCGCAGCGCAACACTTTCGGCATGAGCACAGTGCCTGGGGAACAAACACGGTGCGTGGGCTAAAGCCTTGCCTTGGGTGCCTATCAATCAGACACCCGAGCTAAGCTTTCAACTTGTTGAGTCTGAAAAAGCCCCAATAGAACTAGGAACTGTCATAGTGTTACTGCGACCGTAAATTTTTTCATGCATAAGATGCTCACTTGGAGCTTCTTCCCGCTTTTTACGTGGCTCAACCTCAACTCAGTGTTTATGGTTGGCCTTTTATGCTTTGGAAGTGAAGACTGCATCAGCTCGGTATCAATTTTATTAGTGTTATTGGTGCTGGTTTAACTAGCAAGTTACTAATCAACATATTATTTATACACGTCTCTTAATTGGATTTTTTGAAGAGCGACGTCCCCATTAGAGTGATGATATTTGCATACCCATAGTTATCACGCCTTCAATTACCAGGTTCTTCATTAACAGTTTATTTATTTGTTTATTTATTTACTCTTAGACTCAATAGACATTATAGAGGAAAGCGGTTGCATTTAAAAAGATGCGTTACAGTTATACAATAATAAGATAAATCTGCATAGCATGTAATAATTTTTAGGATAGATAACACAATAATAACCCAAAAATGACATAAAATGGCAGTTGGTGAAGGCCAACTCAAGAACAGAAATTATAGTAACGCAAAAAAGCAGTGAAAAGTGAAATACGGCCGTACGTCATGTAAAATGACGCATAGCGTATGCAACATGTAGACTAAGTGTGGAAAAAGAAACTGTGATGTAAGTGGTAAAATGCGTTTCAATAAATAAAGGTCTCTAATGTCTACCAGTTACTGAGGGAAGGTCATTCGCAGTCTTTTGATGTACGTGGTATAAAAGAATTCAAAATGTGTGAATGCTATATGGTGGAATTTCGACTTTATGTACATTGTCTGGTCTATTGAAAACTTCGAAGGACTGATTAGTTCATTATGCAAGTGTGGATGATGGTATAGGAAAACTTAGAAAAAAAACTGGACGATGTGTTTTACGTCGAAATGCGAAGGTCGGTAAATTAAGATCATTTCTCATTGGTGTTATGGTTGCAGTGCGACTGTACTGAGAGCAAACAAAACAAATAGAGTTGTTCTGAATCATTTCGGGTACGTGTGAAAGATTTTCTTGAAAAGGATTTCATACTTACGCAGTGCATTTAAGTTCAGATCTGGTTAGCGTTTTGTATAAGAGAAGCTTTAAGGAAGGGGGTGATCTTGAAAAATTTCGATAACTACAACTGAGCATGCTATTTTCTTTATTCATAATGCGTGTGATATGATATTCCAGGTTAAATTCGACAATATATGCCCACCAAGATTTTGTATGATGAAACAGGTTCTTCTGGTTCACTCTTGAGTTTGTAAACAGGTTGAACTGTTTTCGATTGGGTTACTTCGCATAAATTTACACTCAGTTATGTTTCATTTCATTTTCCACTCATTGCACCATAAAGAGACTGTGTTTAGGTCAGATTGAAGAAGAGATATATCAATGTCACAAGTTATTTTCTAAAAGATTACGCAATCGCCTGAGAAAAGTGAATATTGGAACGAAACGCAGGAGGGTAAATTGTTTATGTGGATTAGAACAAGAAGAGGCCAAAGCGTAGAAATCTGTGGAGCATTGTATTTTACAGAGCTAGGTCCTGAGCTAGGGTTTTTTGCTGAACGAATTGGGACCGGTTAAAAAGAAAACACTCGCGCCTCTCATAATCATATGGTGGTTTTGGGACGTTAAACCCCACATGTCAAGAAGAAAACATTCACTCTCAGGTCTAAAGTTTAGGGTGAATAGGGGTAGACTAAGGGTTTAGGGTAGACTAAGCTTGTATAGAAGTAATTTAAGGCAAACTTTGTCGAATGCTTTCGAAAAGTTGAAGGAAGTGCAACCTGAATTGAAAGATTGTCTAGAATATTATATGTATTTTGTGCATAAAAGACGTTAGTTGTGTTTCGCAAAAGTAGGTTTTGCGGAAGCGTGTTGTGATGATGGATTGAAGAAGTTTATGGTATGTGAGAACAAGATATGTTCAAGAATTTTGCATGGTATGCTAGTAAGGAAGATGCACCCGTAGTTAATAGGGGAATGTCTGTTACCCGATTTGTAGAACGCAAAAACATTCCCTGTTATCTAGTTTGATGCAAAAGAACCATCGTAAGAAGAGTTTGTCTGAATGTTATTGTTAGGAAGGTAGATGAATGGGTCATTGTGCTCTTAAAAACTTTGCTTCAATTTGGTTGGATTCAAGTGCAGAAAATGAGTTTAATGACTTGATAAGTTTTATCACACTGTCGAAGTTTATTCATATCGAAAGCATGGTTGTGTAGTTGTAAGCATGCGACGTTGGCCCTGCTGGGTTTTTTCTGGAAGAGAAATAATTGAAGATACTTCGTTAAGAATTTTACAGTATCGGTTGTCAGAGATACTGTACCCTGAACTATCAGTCAAGATGATGCAATAATTTTGGCTTGGTTTATACAAATACCAGATTTTTTGGTTCACCTAAAAGCATCAATGGCAGGATGTTCCTTAGAAAGTTATCTTTTGCTTCCTTCACTGCGTTTATGCATTCGTTTGCTGCTGTCGTGTAATTTGTCCAGCGATGAGTACTCGGTGAATTTTAGAGGGCTTGAAAAGACGCCTTTTTTATTCGATAAACGCTGTAGTGCTTGTTGTACCACGGAGCATCTTAATTCGTAGTGATGGCGATAACAGGTAAATATATAGCTGTTGCTTCATTAATTTTTTTTCTACAAACCTGCTTCAAATGGCTTAAACATTACGACTCTCAAATACGACATCGAAGTTATCAAGAAAGACAGCAAGCCCATCGTTTATAGCATCGTAGTTAGCAGTTTTTGTAATCCTTGTACTTTTCTTTTGTTTAGAAAGCGTACATCGAACTGTTTTCATTTCTATCAAAAGTAGGGCAAGGTCACTAATATCAGGCAAGTGCGTAATGTCGGAACCAAGGTTGGCATAAGTTGTTAGGACGAGGTCCAGAAGGTTCGATACTCACTCTGTTATTCGAGTTGCCTAACAAGCTGGGTTTATGAGAAAAAGGATCAAAGTCTAGAAAGCCTTTAGCCAAGATGAATGAATAAGCGTAGGATCGTAGGACCACCTTAGGTTTGGTATGTTGAAATCGTTGAGCAATAAAATGGGAAGATGGGCGTGGTTCA